ACATTTGAGCAATTTTTTGGGATTGTACCAAATCTTTTTGCAATGGTGGGCTACTTCTTTTAGACAGTTTGTCGTTGCCTCTGCGAAGAAGTCTTTGAGGTAGTCGATTATCGCGTCGATTATCTGAAAAAGAAAATTCTTTTTAAGCTTTCTGCCATGGAAATGAAAACAAATTGTTACTGGATAAATTTACAGCATTACTAATGTAAATCATGACAAGAACCACCCGTTTTTATTATGTATTGTCCTATTTTATAAAAATATTGCTTTCTCTATGTAGCACACAATGAAACTTGTGATTTGATAAAAATCAACATTCGTACTCACTCCATCGTATTGCTCAATATCGATCTTGCGTATATCAACGTTCATATCTTGCATCTCAATGCTGCCTTCCGCGTTGACATCATTTGCCCCAAGAGCCAAGAAGGCAAGAATGCAAAGTGCTAAAAATTTGTAGACGAACATACTGACTTTGTACTCAACAATTAGTCGATCGTTACTGACTGACAGACTCGGACCACAGCGACACTTATATCCTCATTATAATCTTTTTTTTGCTGTTTTATCACATGTTGCTGTGTGCGCGCTTTTATCAATCAATCGAATGTGATTACCCGAACACTAATAATTATTTCAGACACCTAGACATTGAATTCTCAAGTGTCGGGTTCAGATCTCTAACTTGATACGTGAGGTAAATCACCCAGATTCGTGATTATTGTTATAAAATAAAAATAACTTTGCTAAGCACTACTTTTTTGTCGTTAATTCAAATGAATTCGCATTGAGTTTCAAGCGACAAACTAGTTGCAGTATATTGAAACATAAAAATCACAAACAAATACAACAATTCAACGTGAAAATAAAATAAAATTATCCCAAACAGTAAATTTTTTCATAAATCACAAAAATAAAGCTTATCCTTCTTAAACCTTTAGTAGTAAAAATCGTAAAATAAAGAGTTTATTTGTATGTTCGTTAGCATCTGAAGTTTACAAATCTGAATATTACAAATTATAAAGATCTATTTATATGAAAGTTGACATGTCTGTTCATTGTTATGCAAACTTCTGTATGTTCTACAAAAAATTCTACTCTTGAACATTTTAAAAAATATTCCACACACAAAAATTGTATACGACAAACTGTACATTTTTGATTATGTAGAATTTTATTTTCAGAACGTTAATAAAGGAACTCTTCACGAAAATTCTCTATACACATTATAATGAAAAAATTGTTCTTAACACTGCTTTATTGATTTTTTTAAAACTCTATACTTGAAAATTCTGCCCTGAATAACTCTATACCGCCTGACAACTCAAATCGTCACGCTAGCCGTAGAAAAAATTAGAGTTAAAAATTAGAGTCGAAGAAATTTTTTTCTACTGACTGAAAAGCTTACAGCGAACTTTTCAAAAAGTGTGGCATACGTTCTATTTGATATTTCAGTTAAAAATATTTTTTTAAAGCCAGTTTTCGTAAATCAACATTTAGCAGTAATTAAAGTTGCCATTTCTAATATCATGACGCGGAAGAGTTAAACATCATATATTATTGTTAATCATTATGTTTATTTATATGTTTGTAAATGTTTTCGTCATTGCAAGGTTTCCATTTACTCAAGACACATTAACGATCTCATAATAAATCGCGAGCAAAGAGTTGAGCATACATGTGGCAAAGTGGACTTTTTATTTTTACAAAAAGCGGAGATTAAAGAAGAATTTTTATAGGGGATGTCACGAAGATAATCGTAATTTTATCGAGATCTATCATGAGTTAGAACTAGATAAAAGGTAAATAATTTAAATTAATACAAAAGATGAATGTGATGGTTGAATTAATAATAAACTATTTTTTTAATTCTTAGGTATCAAGATGCTACGGCCACTCTAGCTTTTGATTAAGTTCGGCTAACTATGAAGAGTTAATGATCTCGTAAAGTACCGATAACTCTATAGACTTTATTTCAGTTGACGGATAGAATTAGAAACTTTCAACGGATTACTCGGTTTTACTCTGGTTTTGTTCAAGAACCAGAAAATTCAATAGTATTGATTATTATAAATCCTCAACTTCGTCTAGGATTAACCTTCATCCTCGCTCTTTGTTCGGCGATGGAATATTTGAGGGAATACGTACTGAAGTATATTTTTAGACTTTTGCAAAGGTGTGACTCGGCTAGGGCTCGAGGATAAAAGCTCGAGCTTTTGAAATACCAAGTTGGGTCATGATTTCGAGTTCGCGCTTCAAAGTTCCAATTAAAATTGTAAGTGTATGACTTTTTAATAAATTATTGGTTATAATAAATTCAGCAATTTTCAAGCACAAACAACTTTGTAATTAGCTAAAAACTAAAAATATCAACTATGACCTTTAAAGGCTCGAGGGCTTATATATCAACTGCCTTGAGCTTATAAGCTTTTGAGAAGCCTACATAGTTTTAGGACTTTCTGCAAATAATTTGTTTATTAATAACTTATATCATTTATAAATAGATTAGACTAGCTGATCCTCGTGATATCGCTTAAGTGTATATTTTTCATTTCACGGCTTTTGGTGTTGTAAGTATTAGTGGTTGATATTATTGTTTATTTATTTATTTTTCGATAAAACGTTAAATTTAAAATAAATTTTATCTGCAGGGATTACCGCCAATTGTATGTCTCACAAACAGAACAATAATGGATCTATACGTTTTTTTTCTTTCCGTTTTTTAATATTTTTTTCTATTGAATGTATCTACCTGTGTACGTATATACGTATATACTATGTATATCGGTGGTGAATAGTAGCTTGCGCGCGTACAAAACTTATTACGTATTCTTGTAATTTAATGATTTACTGTCAAATGAGTTGTCTTCTTCGCTGACACTCTGTACCTTTCCTTTTGTCTCTCGTGATTTTTTCTCTCTGTCAATCTGTCTTCTACTACAGTACATCAAGACATTTACAAACTTAGATAATAATATTTAGGGTATATTTTTAACCATTTTAAAACTATTTACTACAGTAAATAATTCTAATCTTACTATCTACGATACAAAATAGAAAATGTGTTATTTAAGATTTACGAAATTACATTGATATTCGAGGAATAATTTGTTGCGGTACAATCGATTTACCGGCGCAAGTTCTTTTCCTTTCTATAAATCAATATAATAATACATTTGGGTGTCAAATATGTTCATATCCCGGTGAAAATCATGCGAGAACACCAATATAACCCTTCACCGAAGAAAGTTGAATTTTCGAACCGATGCAGAAACGATAAATAATGCGATTTTTGCTGTTAAGTCCAATATATCAGTATGTGGTGTAAAAGATTGATATTGTGAAAAATCACTTATAAATACGTAAAATACCGCGATAGATATGCATTGGGCATTTGAAGGCATCACAAAACTGTAGCTCATATTATGGTTTGATCCAAATTTTGCTGTAGAAATATTTTCATTCTATAATTTAATTGAGGTAGTCGATCACCGATTGTGCTCAATCAAATCATCGGTTTATGACCAAATAAATTCAATAATATAACTACTCGCTAAAGGAAATTTATTGTTAATCAAAAATAAAATTGATCGGAAAAGAAATATATCTCGTCGCTCCGTAACTCGACGCCAAAAGCTTGACGCTCCGTCGCGATATACTATATCAATTGTATGTATATCAATCAGCAAGATTCCAACGCGACGCCGAGCAATGTCTCGGAAAACTAGAATTTAGATAGATAAATTTCAAAATTATATAAAGATTAAATTCTTTATTTTTCTGAGGACATTCATAGCAACAATAAAACTGAATCATTTTATATGAAATACGGCTCAAATGATTTACAGGTTCCCAACTTTAAATGCAAAAATTTATGTACCTATTCTAGGAAAGATTTTGTAATTTTGAAAAAAATTAACATCTTAAAAATCCGTTCTCACTTGATTTATCAGACGGATATATTTTCATTAGTTCATCAATGCGTTTAAATTGAGAGCAGCCTTGAAATAGTCGAAATAGAAAATTTTAAAAATGTATGCATTCATTTCAAAATTATAAATACAAACTCTGACTATATAGTGGAACCGATCAATGACATTGAAAATGAGTATTTTTTATTTATACATGAGTTTTCTACTTCAAAAGAAATTCCTCAATTACTGCTATTGAAAGTAAATACATATTCTTACAAAAATCATTATACGAAAAATATTAATAGTACATTGGTTCTGAATAAAAAAATAAATAGAAAAGTATGAAAATAATTAGATAAAAAATTGTTATTTGAATGTATTTTAAATATATCACCAATGTGTTAGAAATATATTACACGGAATTCGAATGTATTTTTTTCAATCCAATTTATTGCGAATATATTGCTATAAATTGTAAATTATTTAATCAGAACGTATTACCAATATATTGTAGCAATTTTGCGCATAAATTAAAAAAGCAACTATTGTTAACGTTGCCAATAGTTGCTGTAAATAGAGTTCATTCATCAACTATTGCCAACATATTACGAATAGACCTCGCGCGCACAATTGCCAATGGGTTTGTAAAAACAATTGCCAAGATGGTTCCAATATATTTACAATATATATCTATTGCCAATTTATACGTAAAATAAAAATAATAACTATTGCCAATTTAAAGACCATAATTATTATTTTTACGATTCTTGAAATAATTTATTCTTTAGTACAATTTTCTTATTTTCACGTTGAGTTGTTTTTTTTATAACAATAATCACGAATCTGGGTGATTTACCTCACGTATCAAGTTAGAGATCTGAACCCGACACTTGAGAATTCAATGTCTAGGTGTCTGAAATAATTATTAGTGTTCGGGTAATCACATACGATTGATTGATAAAATCGCGCACACAGCAACATGTGATAAAACAGCGACAAAAAACATTCTAACGAGGATATAAGTGTCGCTGTGGTCCGAGTCTGTCAGTCAGTAACGATCGACTAATTGTTGAGTACAAAGTCAGTATGTTCGTCTACAAATTTTTAGCACTTTGCATTCTTGCCTTCTTGGCTCTTGGGGCAAATCATGTCAACGCGGAAGGCAGCATTGAGATGCAAGATATGAACGTTGATATACGCAAGATCGATATTGAGCAATACGATGGAGTGAGTACGAATGTTGATTTTTATCAAATCACAAGTTTCATTGTGTGCTACATAGAGAAAGCAATATTTTTATAAAATAGGTCAATACATAATATAAACGGGTGGTTCTTGTCAAGATTTACATTAGTAATGCTGTAAATTTATCTAGTAACAATTTGTTTTCATTTCCATGGCAGAAAGCTTAAAAAGAATTTTCTTTTTCAGATAATCGACGCGATAATCGACTACCTCAAAGACTTCTTCGCAGAGGCAACGACAAACTGTCTAAAAGAAGTAGCCCACCATTGCAAAAAGATTTGGTACAATCCCAAAAAATTGCTCAAATGTGCCGTAAGTACAATCCATTATTATTTTTTATTTATTATTTTTTATCCGAGCTCAAAACATATTTATTCACTCGGCTACCTCTGAATTATTAAAGAAAGAGTACTTCAAAGAGCACCAAGGTGAATGCGCCATTCCTGACAGCCTGGAGTATGAACATTTAATCATGGCCATCGACAACGACGACGAATTTGTAGAATTGCTCGACGAGTCAGTTGAAGCACGCAACCCGGTGAGAATATCTTAAATAAAATCGTAAGCGTTTGAGTTTACATTTGCATTACAAAAACATTTGTTTGATCTTTCGCAGCTTCTTCAGGTGGCGATCAGATTGATCGCACAGGCATTTAAGTGGGCGGCCACACACTGCATTAAAGAGGCAGCTGGGCATTGTAAGAGTCACTGGAATAATCCTCCTGCTCTGATTAACTGTGCTGTAAGTTTTTTTTCTATTCAGATTCCTAGAAACACTTCGTTCATGAAGAATAAACTTACTTTGTGATGACATAATTACAGAAAAACTATTTGATTGCTAACAAGGGACGCTGTGCTCTCGGCTGATGAGTATATCCACCCACACACACGAATCTGTAATATATTGTAAAAAGTCGGCTCTCATATTTTAATGATCAAATATAGATTGTAATTATTGTTAAGAATGTCGAAATACATTTATGCAAATACGAATTGGCCTCTGTATAACTTTTCTGAAAATATTTCGCGAGAAGCCATATAATCATCGTTATCTAAAGATGACAGCAATTTTATGAAATTCGAAATTTTCTCTATATTCATTACTCCAAGAATTAATCTAAAATCTTGATCGCTATGTTTAGAAAGTTTCCGAAAGAAATATTTTTTATCTAATTTTTCATCGATATCATAAGCTGATTTATTTTTCTGATCGACAGAAAAATACTTTGAAACGGTGAGAACCACCCTTAGAAAGGTAGAATTTTAAATGAAAAAAAATAAGGTTTGCACCTCTTATGGTCAGAATTGAATGCGCTAGTTTTGTATTCACATGAAAAGTGATAAAATATTAATTAAAAGCTAAGATACATTGAAAAATCCATTTTTTGGTGTGAATTTTGAGGCCGGTTTTCATCCCCTTAAAGTGTTTTTCTGCCGATAAAAAAACACGAATGTCTTATTTTTTTCATGTACTATAACATATCAAAAAATCATTAAAATCGGTGAGGTCGGGTTGGGAGGTTTTCTTGTAAGAGAGAGCGAGATAGCGAACGACACTGAGGGTGCGCACGTAATTAAAAGATAAAATTTAATATTACAATGAATTAATGAAATGCTAGTAAAATAATATTTTGATTCTCATTATCGACGTTGTTATGGGTACTTAGATAATAATCTGACCGCGAATAATGATCTGACCAATAAGAGAATTTATGGCGAATAGGGGAAAAAGAACGGCAAGATAGAGAAGACGAACGCAAAACTCGTCCATTTTGTCATTCGCTACAGCTGTGAGTAGATACACTTTAGATTGATCCTATTTCTCATGTGCAGATTTACAAGGAAGTAAGTATAAATCGGGCTAGTGTTGACCAAGTGTCGTTGGGTAGACCGAGTAGCAGGTTGTGTGAGTGGAAATTCGCGTTGGGAAGCGTAGTTTCAGGGCGTTCGAATCCCGTGGCCGAAAAGCGTATGGGCGAGCATTCGTAGAGCCAACGTACGTGAATAAACGAAGTTTTAGTGAAATTAAGTTTATTGGACGATACCATATCACTACCGCGAGGATGACGATAAAATCAAGTTTCGCGATTTGCAAACAGGCAGTGCCACGACCTTGACCAGAATGCCACCGAAGAGCTAGTGGAGACCATACCTAGGAAAAAATCAAGGACATCAACGAGAAGTAGTTATGCTTGATTATTGGCACAAACGTAGAACATTAAAATCATAAGTAAAATAGTGAATTATTGTAAAATAATAATCAAAATGAATTTTTTTTAATTAAACAATCCTCAAGTTCTTACGCAACTTCTTACACAAGTTCTTACGTCGAAAATCCACTGATATGTCTTGCATAAGAACTTACATAAATTATAATGGTATTTCTTATGTCATTTGTTACACAAGTTCTTACCAAATATCTTATGCTCTATTTTCAAGAGATAAAACATTATTTAACTTGTTTGATTATACCCCAACTAGCAATTGTTTTAAAAATATTACCAAAATATTTTTCTGGGAACATTGCAATTTTTTCGGCAACCGTTAAAATTATTGCAGCAATGTTTCCGAAGCATCTAAATGTCCACATTTGTTTGAAGCTAAATGTTAGCAAAATGTTGTTGAAACCAGTTTTCTTAATGTTGTCGCAATGTTGTTATTCGGTAAATTTTTTTAATAATTCTGAACATAACATCTAAAAGTATAACTCTTTGCCTTTATTAAAAAAATATTTGCCTCGCTACGATGTTCTTAGCCATTTTTATAGTGTTTTAAAAAAGTTTTGAAATAATCCTTGTGTAGAGGTAAAAAGGAGTATATGAATATTAACTATACGATGCTCATGCTTACCGATGATTTTAGTTTTACCCGATGATCACTATAAAAAAATAGCTGGTTAGCAATTTACCTTTCCTCACAAGTATGTTTACGTATTTGTGTATATATTTTAGTATAGTGGTATCAGAGATAAGGACCCTACAATTCGTCAATTTCGAAGCATTTTAATACTCCTAACTTTTTCTGGTACTTGTGTGTGTGTGTGTGTGTGTGTGTGTGTGTGTGTGTGCGTGCGCGCGCGCGTGTGTGTGTGTGTGTGTGTGTGTGTGTGTGTGTGTGTAAATGTTCATGCAATCTAGCAAATATTGGCAAATGTGTGTATTTGAATATCATGTGTTACCACCACATTGTTGGATTCTGTATTGTAATACAGGCGCTTATTTAAACTTGTGAAATATCATTCCATTTCTGTACAAGAATTTCAGGTATATCTCGTAATGTAACCGGCTGTCTCGGTAAGTTATTTAATCTCTTTTTTTATCACTTTTTTCTTTTCTTTTCACTCTGACATGCACTTCACGCCTTTTTTAAATCAATTGTCTTTCACCATAGATCTGTTCTGTATCTGCGTCTATCGCGCTCATACAATCCTACAATTTTAATAACCATTTTTAGTAAAATTACCACATAAAAGTAAAATGACAAATATAATAGTGAATAGTATAGTAGAAAGTATAGTTCTTGTACTTATTTAGATTTCACATGTTTAAAGCATTTTACTTATAGTGCACGACAGTGAAGAAGTCTTAGTCTTGTACGTTGGACCTTATGGTAATAAACAGGGGAATCCCGTATGGACAAATTCTACTTTCGTCTTATTCATGCCATAACCTCAAATCAATCCCCTCCCTCAATAAATAAATAAAAATTACTTTCATAACTACACATAAAATATATATAAAACTGTTCTGCATTCCACAACCATTGATGATTGGTTATTGAGTGTTAATTGCAAAGATATATGATTTTCGAGAATTGCCTATATATTATGAAATCTAAAATCAATTATTCAGTATTTGTCACTGTTCGTAACAAAACATCGGAGCCTTTATTTTGCAGTCGTAAAAAATTAATAGTTACAGTGAAAAAATAAACGACCATATATTTCGACATCAATTAATGGAACGACTTGATAAAAGCATCGCGATAAAAAATTCTTATGACAGTAATATAAAATCATATTATCTCGTTCATGTATAAATTCAACAGCTAACTTTAACTTTTATGCTTTTATCTATTTCATATAAAAATCTTAATGACTGATTGCATTTATTAATCTACTACTCATTTTAGTAAAAAATTTTTATATTTTACATCAAAAGTGACTATTTATTAACCAACAAGATATTATGACATGATCGATGCGAAAAAAATATATATATATATTTGGAGAACAGTCGAGCACGGTGGAAAGTTTAAATCTTGATGAGTACACCAGGCGAAAACCGCTTCCATCCGAACTCTTACAATATAACTCCTTACAGGAGGTTGATGAGAGGTCGAGTACGGAAGAATCGCCGCGTTGCCAACAGATTTTATTTACAATTTCCGAATTACAATAGAGTCGTGTACAGAGTGGGATAAAGTGAAATAATAAATAAATTAATAATAAATTAATAAACTAGTGAATTAATTACGTTGTTAATTAATTCATTGTTCACAATCAAAGTGAACTCAACTCATATTTCTATAAATTTGAAGACAATCCCCTCCTATCTTCTTGTAAAAAGGTGATGAAAGTTATGTTAAAACATTTTATTCGTAACCTGATTGGCCCAAATGAATAAAATCGCGAGAATTCAAATTGGTTTGAATTGATTTTGTATTTCAATTCAAATTTAATTTGTTTTTAGAAATAAAATCAAACAAAAAGTATAATCTTTAACTCATCATTCACGTGATATACTGTTATGTGGCAGAAAATAGCCTATTGAATGCAGATGTGAGTTGAGATTTTAGTGATAAAAATTTAATTTATCATAATTGATACAGGTAATTTTAAAGATAATAAAAGTAAAAAAGTAAACTGCAGTGTTATTGTTTCTACACTTATTTTATGGAACTAGCAGTGAATAAATCGTTCATAAAAACCAGAGATTGAAATTGTAAATATTTTGTATTCCTAATCGATAATCTTATTTTGGTATGTTTAAGATTGAAATAAAGGTCTGTGTTGAGAAAGTTCCATAGGTTCCTATAGAAAACTATTCGTGTCGAATAGTATCAACCATTTTCAATGAAGTAAATAGATCAGTCATTAAGTGACGAGTGGACATGAATAGTTTTAAATGGTAACTAATGGTAATCGTAACAAGCAGTAAAAATACTCATAAATTTCTATTATAAAGAATTAGTTTGAACAATACTTGTAATGCAAATCAATTCAATAATTTTTATTAAATCATATTTTATACGTTTTAAACAATTTTTAAAGAAAAATTTCTCAATAGTATTTAATCAAACAGTTTATTTATCGATTTCAATCATCGAGGCATTTTACATATATTAATATTCTATTAATACAAATTAGTATCATCATTTGTAGGCATTGAAAAGATAATGACTTCCACATTCTCTTAACGGCCTAACTTTGAAATAATACGCTAAAGTATTCTTAATGCCCTCCAATTACATTTATTTATAGGACATATAAATTTATTGAATATCTTTATTGTAAAATTTAGCTTCCAATAAATATTATCAACAATGAACCATTAATAACCAAGACTTGAACCCAAGATCTTCATGTAAGACTTGTGCGATTTTACCACTTTGCTATCGGCAACTGTTATTGATATTACGTGCATCAGAAAATTGTTTATGAATTATTTGATCGTATTCAATGAACTGTAGTTTTACTCATAATATTGATGAATTTAAATTTAACAAAAATAAATAAATAAATAAATAATTGAGCAAAAATAAAACTTTTATAAATGTATTGTTAACTTTAAATTCATCGCTATTATCAGTAGACATATAATTAATTGAATTTGGTAAAGTATACAAGTCTGGTAACATGAAAGTTTCGAGTTAAAAAGTTAAAGTTTCTTTTAAGTCTCGGTTAGGTTAATATTTTCTTTCATTTTTTTTATGTATTTCGAATTTTACGGAAACTGCCCACATTATTTTATCCACATTATGCGTGTATTATTTATTTATTCCATTTTTAGGAGAAAGTCAATTATTGAATACGAAACTTTTACAAGGCTTATACCAAACTTATATAAATTCTGTACGAATATTGTATAATATTGTTATAGATTTTGTATATATTTTTCTACAAATTTTGTATACATACTACACAAAATTTGTATATTCATTTAGAGTGGGGATTATCTATATATAGCTAACAATCTTAGAACCTATTACTTTATTAGATTTGAATTATTGCTATCGGCGAATATGAAAATGATTGGATTATTTATCATTTAATATCAACGTATGGTGAGTATATAAAACATATGATTATTTTATTTATATGTATCTATATACGAGGAAGGACCCAAAAGAAACAGGAATGTCGTCATAGCTTCTTAATTTTTACACCAAATTTTGATCACATTCAAGGTATTCTCCCTTAACCACAATGTTCCTTTTCAAACAATCCTTCCATTGTTCTAAACATTTTTTAAATTCACTTATTGGGATATATTCTTTAGGCCGTCCAGCAATTTTTGATTTACCTTCTTCATATTAACAAAACGCTTTCCTCTTATATCTCTTTTAAGTCTGGAAAACAATAAGAAATCACAGGAGGCTAGATCCGGTAAGTAGGACAGGGGGAGGAGGGAATGGAGAATTGGTGTCATGCCGTTTTTGCTCAAAAACTGTTTTACGGAGAGAGCGGAATGGGCCAATGCGTTGTCATGGTGGAAGAACCAGTCAATTACACACCAAAAATTTGGCTATTTCTTTCTAATGCTCTTTCTTAGGCCCTCGCCACATATGCGCATATCATAACGCTATATTATTGAAGGTTGTGATACGTTTATTCCGGCAGTAAGTGTATTCGTTTGGGGCATGCGAGGAATAGTAGTAACTTTCTGTTGTTGGCACTATCAAAATTTTTAGCGATTTGTACGTGTTTGTACGCCGTTGTACGCACGCGTATGCGCATATGTGGCGAGGGCCTTAATCTTTTCCAAACCTTCAAATATAATTCCTAGTCAACAGTTCGATCCGGTAGAATGGACTTCGCATCACAACACCTCTGCAATCGAAGAAACAAATAAACAATGCCTTGATATCTGACTTTACTTGACAAGCTTTTTTGGGACGAGGAGAGCCAGGTGACTTCCACTGGCTTGGTTGTTGCTTTGTTTCGGGGTCGTATCCGTAACACCACGATTTATCAGTATTATTACCATGGAAAAAAATTCAGGGTCCTCTTTAAGCTGATTTTGAAGCTTAAAACATGCTTTCTTTTTATAGATTATAAAATTAATTATTGAATTCTAGCAAGAAGTGAGTGCACAAATCGCACTTAAGGACACTAGTCGAGACATAAAATTCGAATTACTATAAACAGAGTTTTTATATTTTCCGCGGTTGTGTGTGTGTGTGTGTGTGTGTGTGTGTGTGTGTGTGTGTGTGTGTGTGTGTGTGTGTGTGTGTGTGTGTGTGTGTGTGTGTGTGTGTGTGTGTGTGTGTGTGTGGACGTACGTACATACATAATCAATTCATTTTTTTTAGAGAGAGAGAGAGAGAAACTTGAAAACCATCCTTTTGCATAGTCGATAACGCCTGAGTGTTTTTATATAACGATACTGAAATAAAATATCTTTTGTTCAGTCGGTAAAGTTCACTGGACCTTAACCTAAAACAAAAGTATGTATGGGCTTCTATTTCTGATTTTTCTTTCATCGATCAAAATCGTTAAAGAAAATACATATATTAACATATACTAATTAAAAAAATTTGTTAAAGTGAATGAAACAATATAAGAATTATAAGATTTTGATATTCTCTTTAATGTGCAAATAATTCAGTTCAAAGTATTGCATTATCGCATCAAAGCACGTGCTTTTTTCAAATTTTGTAACTTGCAAAAATTATCTTTATAAGTGTACTATTGAATTTGAGTATAGGTATATTGTAAATCGTTTCCCATCCAATTATAACATGAATTATGAACAAACCATTGAATCATATTATTATCGAAACAATCAAATAAAATAATTAAGTGCAAGTGTGACTATTTTTTATTATTTTTTTTATATTATAGAATATTATGGAGAAAGAAAATAACACAATTTTAAGTATAATAGATCCACTACATTTCAACGGTATAACTAGAAAAATTACAATGAGTAATGTAAAAGATAATAAAACATCAGAAATTTTCCGAAAAGAGGCTAATCTTATTTTCAATAATCAAATACATGACTCTAAGAGTCATGAGAAAATATGGAAGTTGTATTCAAAAAGCGTAGCTTTGGCAACAGAAAATTCTGAAAATCTTGCCCTTGCTCATAGTAACAGATCAGCAATTTTATTACACATGAGCAAGTATGAAGATAGTTTACTGGATATTTCTAGAGCACAAAATATTACAAAGAATACTTGTCTTCATATAAAACTGCTCATTCGTAAAGCTAAATGTTTACATGCATTGGGATCAGAAGAAAGCAATATTGCATTAAATGAAGCAGAATCTTTATTGGATAAAATTGAAGTAGAGAATTTGAAGAATATATTTATTAATGATATTAACGAAACTAAATTCACATTAAAAAAGCCATTTGAACCCCTGGAAACATTTCATAATTATAATGTTTCTGCAATTAAAGCTTTAAATAAGCGAAATAAAATTGGTGATTTTTCTCTTATAAAAATACAATATGATGAAAAACATGGAAGACATCTTATTGCAGCTAAAGATATTAAACCAGGACAAATTATCTACATAGAAAAGCCTTATATTCACTGTGTAAATATAGAAAATATACACTTATATTGTTCTCATTGTTTAACTACAACATGGGCAGGCATTCCATGTAACCATTGTTCTTGGACCATGTTTTGTTCAAATGAATGCAAAGAAAAAGCTTGGGAACAATATCACAGTATTGAGTGTACATTGTATAGTTGCATAAAAAAAAAATTAGATGACAGTTCTACGCATCTAGCTGTGAAAGCTTTATCTCTTGCTCTAAAAGAATATGGTGGTATTGAAAACTTGCAAGCCGAATTAGCAGAATTTGACAAATCCAAAGGTATACAAATATTAAATAGATTAATTCTTTTACTTTACTCTTTGTAACCATAAACTATGTGTTTTCGTAAATTATAACACCAATTTTAGATAAGTTCAAAGGATTCAAAAACAATAACAAAATAGAGACAAGTATGTTCCAGACCATGTATATTTTATCTCATGATGTGACTAAGTTTAAAATGCAAAGACACAAAGAAAGTGTTGCTTTATTTCTTGACACTTTGATACAATCTACAGGATTACTAGCAGAAGACCTTTGCGGAAAAAAAACTAAAAGTTATATAAGAAAAGATTATCTTTTCTTTCTTTGTGCTTTATTTTTAAGATTAAGTACAGTAAGTGAAATTAATAAGCTAGAAGTAAGTAAAATCAAATTTTTAATTGATTAAGAAAAATTAATTTATACTATATATGAATATATGGTGATTTGGTTAGATGTGGAATGGAAGTTATAAATGCCCAAATGGTTCAATTCTAAAATCACACTGTTGCAAAAGTGACTGTTGTTCTAGAGGAGTTTATATTGCACCGGTCACTAGTTTAATCAATCACAGCTGCAATCCAAATGTTAATATATGTTACAGTAACAATCACAAGGCTGTTATATATGCATTACAACCAATTAAAAAAGGAGAACAGGTATATTTATTGAGATAATTTTCACTAAATAGATAATAAAATTAATGTAAAATTATAATTTATTAATTTAAAAGCAATAAGCTATTACTTCATTTTACAGATATTACGCTGTTATCAAGAAGAATTTTTTTTTATTGAAAAATCAATCAGGAAACGATTGTTGAAAAATATTTACAATTTTCAATGTGAGTGTGAAGCTTGTCTAAATGATTGGCCAAGTTTACTCCTCAAAAATGACATAATTATAAATCCTTGGTCATCTTTATACTTGCATAAAGAAGTAGAATTAGGATCATACTATAAACGTATAATTGATTCAACATTCATTGGCTCTGCTTATTATATCAAAATGATTGACTCTCTTGGAAAGGATTTAGAAAGAACTTTAAAAGATTTGCCACAGCCTGCACTGATGAATATTGATTTAATGAGAACTTTGAGTATTATTTTTAATCAATTATATGGTATCATGTTATTTGTACCATCCAAGTGCAACTCAGAGATAAAATTTGTTTAAACATTGTTATTATGATTACGGGATAGGAATGACCATTGTAATCAAAGAGTGTACTGCTCTAAAAACAAAAAGATTATATAATAGTTGAGTAATTGTAGTTGTAGAATACAAAGTTAGTTTTTTAAAGTTTAAAAAATGATTATCATGATTCTATTACATACTTTATTTAATTTTCTATTTTGAACTATTAGTTAACAGATATGTAACTAATACTATTTTTCATAATTTACTTTTCCATATGAAATATAATAAAATACATTAAAATCTGCATTACCTGGACTTGTCTTTGAATATTTTTTTTTACTGATTTGCTGAATTAATTTCATTATTGCGATTTTATACATAATTCATTGGTTGGTTGTTGGAAAAAAAAAGCAATTTGGAATTACTAATTCTTTTTAGTTTCCATTTACATAAGTCTTTTGTTGAATTTTTAATATTTTACAAAAAATTATAAGATTTTCCAATTTTATGCATAATCATTAAACGTTATAAGTATCTTATAACAAGTTTATTATTCGTAGTTTATAAAATGAAAAAACTTCTAATGTTACAATTTGAAAGAAATTGTTAAACAAAGTTATACCGACACGCAAGCATTGCAATTGTACTAATTGCATAATGTATACAGCATCATCTAAAAAAATTGTCCCAGACGCAATTTGACTGAAAATTATTTAACCAGGTTCAGTACACGTTTCTTCCATTCCAAGTTTGTTTTTACAATTGAAATTTAATTAGTAAGGCTATTTATATTCCAATTGATTCTTTCATTATCATTTTAACTGTAGAAAAGAATTTAATATAAGAAAATATGCACTTAACTCGGTCAAACATTTTCAGGAGCAACTTATACAACGCAAACGCTAATTGCAAAGGCAACAGCAAATGAATCATACTTTTATGTATATATCATATTTAACTAAAACAGTTAAATCTCGAGGACTTTCATTTGTTCATGTTTATGAATTATGACGAACTCATAATACAGCAAACTTCATTTGTACAAAAGTATTACTTTTATTAAACTGTTGCTTTGTCTCTCTTCTGGTTTCTGCAAACGACGTAAGGGTTTTAATTTTTTTTTTCATGAAATAATGAAATGTCAATGCTTTTTTCTCGGGGATAAGAAATTATCGCTAAAATTAATTGTCGTATCTTATAATATGTTGCCCTAGTATTGAACTCTACCATTGATTCAATTTTGTAACGAAAAGTTCTTTGTTATTATCTAAAAGATTATAAAATTTATTCAAAGTTACTATATTACTAGTGTGTATATGATAAAGTTTCGTTGATATTTGATAAATAAATTAATAAATAGTTACTAGAGGATAATTAACTTTGCTAGTAGATGTAATCGTGAAGTATTTCTTGAGATTACTAAATAAGCCTTATGTGTATTTAAAATATTTTTAGTAATTTAGATTTAGTTAAAAAATGGAAGAGGAAAAGAAGGAAATTAAAAATCTGTTTAAATCTTCTGAATTTCAAAGAATGGATTCAGATGATACACATCCCGTTTGCAAAAAATTCAGGATATTCTGAAGCTATAAGGCATAACAGTAATGAACTATTTAAAAGCAGTTTTCATGATGCTTATATTCATGAACAAATTTGGAAAACATATTCAATGAGCATAGTAGTTGCAGAAAGTGGTACGGAAGGACTTGCATTAGCATTTAGCAATCGATCTGTTATTTTAATGCACATGAAAAAATATGCATGCAGAATCTATAAAAGATATTAACAGAGCAATAAATATTATAAAAAATAAAATTTTATCTATCAAACTTTTGCTTTGTAAAGTTAAATATCTTCATAAAATAGGGTCAACAGAATGTAATAGTGTATGCCAAAAAGCTAAGCATCTATGGAGTGAAATTACTGAAGCAACTATAAAGAAATCATTTCAAAATAACATTGATAGAATGAAACTGTTATTAACTAAACCTCTTGAGCAGAAATCTACTCCAAAAAGTAAAAAATTAGAAATACTGAATGAGCTGGTTCATCAGTATATAAAATAAATGACTTTTCATCAATAAAAGTACATTATAATAAGAAGTATGGTCGGCATTTGATTGCTGCCAAAGATTTCAGACCTGGAGATGTGATTTACATTGAGAAACCATTTGTTCAAATTCTAAACATACTTAAATCACATGCATTTTGTTCTTATTGTTTTGTTACAACATGGGCTAATATTCCATGTGATCATTGTGCTATGTCAATGTTTTGTTCAGAACAATGTAAAAAAGAAGCTTGGATAAAATATGATATTGAATGTTTTATTTATAGTACTGATAACCCTAATTATAGTGAAAAATATAAACAAGTAGCAATTAGAATATTAATTATGGCATTAAAAGAGTTTGGTAGTATAGAAAAATTGAAATCTGAATTAATAAGATTTGATAAGTGCACTGGTAATAATTTCTTTTATTTTTACAACAAAAAAATCATATATCATTGTCAAATAATTTAGTAATCAAATACTTTGATTTATAGACAAAAAGAAAGGATTTATAGTTGATGAAAGAGTTGAAACTAATGGTTTAAAAACTATATACACTTTGTCAAATAATATTCCTAATGTAAATCTAGAAATACATAAAAATAATACACAAAATGTACTATTAAAAATAGCTAAACATACTAGCTATTTTGGAGACTATTTTATTAACACTCGTTAAGTATGTGAAACTAATTTTTACAATTTATGTTTTGGTTTTTGGCAAATATGTAACACTTATTATTTCTACTACATAGATGTGGAATAACACTTATGAGTGTTCAAGCAAATTAAGTAATACAGAATGTTGGGAAAATGAATGCTGCTCTGCAGGTGCTTATATTGCATCTGTTTCTAGTTTGCTTAATCATAGTTGCCATCCCAATGTAAATAGATGCTATACTAGTCATAACACTATTATTTTATATGCAGTACAGCCGATCAAAAGAACTTCTCAGGTATATTTGATAAATTAAAAAATACATATAACATTTTAGTTATTTTTCTGAAACCTTGACTTTTTTAATAAATATTCCAATAATTTATTTGTTTCAGTTATTCAATTGTTACATTGAACCATATTACATAGATAATTTTGTTAAAAGACAAAAGATATCTGACATCTACAATTTTCGATGTGACTGCCTTGCTTGTAAACAACAGTGGCCAGTTCGAATATATTCTCGAGATCAATTGACTACATTAGATTTGCAATTGATAAATGAATTGAAAGATGTAATAGTAAAATATCATACCTCTGATAAAACAATTTGTAATCATAGAACAGTTGCACGTTTGAGAAATGGTATGAAAAAGGAATTAAAGACATCATCTAAACCAACAGTAATCACAAGTGACTTAATAGATGGTTTACAAATAATTTTTAATATAATTTATGGCATAAACTTAGTAATTCCAAAAAAATGTTATAATATTTAGTAACAATATTGTTTCAAATTTTATATCACTTAAATGTATGACTCCACATAAAAATTGCAAATTCATTCATTAATATGTAAACATGTATTCAAATGACATTGTAAAATAATAAGTTTTCATTGTTAAATCATATTTTCATTTATAATTATTTATATTAGAATTCCATAAGTCTTGGAATCAAGAGTACCTTATAGTTGACAAAGCAACCTCCACCTCTGCCTTCACACACTTATGCACTCTTCAGTTGGTTCTACAGATATAATATTGATGGTTACTTCTGCTGTATCGCTCCGACATGAATAAACCCCCAGTTGTATTAAAAGTTCGTCTTTGTTATAAACTAGCGTATTCAAGCACGCTTCATGCGCTCTTTTTTTGTATGTTATACTTCAGTTTGATGCTTAAATAAAATTAAAATTGATACTGGCAAAGTGAAAAATTCTAAAGTACGCTATACATACATAAAATAATTATATGATTTGAAATGCTCCACAATATCTATCGATTTTAATTGGCAAATAAATATTCAGTTATAACTCAAATTCATAGTAACAATTTCAAATCTAATTTTTATGTAAAACAATTGGCGAATGCTTGACGGCCGGAAAAGACAGAATGAATCCAGTAGCTAAAACACGTTAAGAAAGCTATTCTTTATAAAACTGCCAGCTCATCTAATCTATTATCTCACCCACAAATTATGTAAGATTCGCGAATAAGTATAACGCATTTATACGAGTATAAAAGCTGTAATGATTTCAATTTGACAACGTAGTACCTCGTTAAGTACTTTTAATTATATCGGCAATGCACCAAGTTGGCTTCCGCTTTTTTTTTTCTAAATAATTTGAATCGTCGGCTGCATCTGACGATTTAATTTTCTTTATTTTTGACATATTTGTCTATGGTTTCAAACTTTTTATAGAATATATCGATTAATAGATATATTATTTTAACAAATATACTGTAAATCAGTTTTGGCTAATTCGGTGCCATTAACTTCTCCAAGTAATTTTCAAAATTTCTATATTTAATGATTAGAGGCTTTCTATATATATGTGATCAGGACTGCGAAGTTGACCTCCGATTTGTCAAGGGAAATTGTTGACGAAAAAGGAAAAACGGCATATGTTGCCTTAATTTCCGATTTTCGATTCATGAATGCGAAATAGGTGGAGATCGAATTTTTCCGCGTAACTAAAGTATGGCGGTTTTCTTGTAAAATTGTTGATGAATCTTAATATTTAAGCCTGAAACTAGAAGTCATTATTAACTCACTTTTCGTGAGTTAATGACTTCAATAGATGGTAACGCTCTATTACTGTAGTTTCTAAAGCTCGATATAGATATGTAATATGTCTATACTACAACGTTTTAACGATTGGAAGGACCCAGCCAGCAAGAATTGTTTCAAAGAAAAGTTTTATAAATAATGATTTCAGCAATATTTCTAATGTTTCCAAAAAAAAAATGTAAACATACATTTTTTTTGAATTTTTAGAATTTACGGAGATAAAAAATGTTTTAAAAAAACTTTCACTTCCCGGAAAATATGCCCGTGCGCGCATCAGTTTCGACGCGTTTTTACCAGTGATTCAGATACAGCTTGATAAAAGCTAAAAAATATTCTCACTCAAATTTTTGTAAGATTTCTGTTCCAGATTTAGTAAATTTTCAAAGTTAGTAAAAAATTTTCCGAATTTTCAATGTTGAATTATTACTTACAAAATATAAAAAACAATCAATGGCATCCATTAGTCATACCATTTAAAAGCTTTTTAAAAGACCTTTCAAACGAGCTCTCAGGCGACTCTGTACCTTATAGTTTTTACCAGAGACATTTAACTTTAAAGTTTTGACTACTTTTGCAGCAGATGGCCCAAAGTAGGTGATTGGCAGTATAGTTAGGTATATTCTTCCTTTAAATCCTAATGGTACAGTCGTTATATTATTTTCTGTCGTCAATTAAATAATATCTGGAAAGAGAGAAAATATATATCTGGAAACATCAGCGGCTCAGGTAGGCTATATATGTTACGTATATACGTTACTTTACTAGATGGCGGTAAGTCTCTGACCGAGCATCGATAAGCCAATACGCATGCGTATAGACGAGTGGTACAATACGTGCACTTGCACATGCGCAAGGCGCTTTTTTTGTTCTGGTCAAAATATAAATGAGATTATTTAATTTTTTTTATAAAAAATTGTTAATTTTCCTTGAATTTTATAACGGGGCAAATTTATTTCGAGAGTGAGCAATTTTTTAAAATCTTAGAATTAAAAAAATATTGATATTTCGACAAGATTTTAGTGAAGTAAATTAATGTTCAACTGTAATACTTTTATACATACTTTTTTCTTTAATGCAAATGAAGCAAATTATATATGATCATAGGTAAACTGAGCAAATTCATCTTGATTGAAAACAATATTAATTTTAATTTTAAACATTTTCAAGGGCTGATTTGGGGATGGTCACTTATACAAGCACCTGGCCTGGTCTTCTATAAGCGTCTATATTCATTGATAAAAAATGATTTACTATTACAAATTAGAAATGTAATAAGAACATAAATAATGTGTATTTTTACACACTTTATAAAATACATGACTAACTTGTATGACATTCTAAATACTTTTATTTTTATTATTACAAATGGAATCATTAAGAAAAAAAAGTTTACAGAATTTAATGTTTTAAAAATATTACACCATAGTGAAAATTTTTTAGTTATCAATAAACCATTTGATATGGTGATTAATTGTAATAATCCTAATATGCAGGTAATTAACGTATTTTATATTTAAATTTTAATTCCAATTTACCTTTTATTACAATGTATAATGATTTTTTAGGAAAGTGTCCAATGTGTAATCCGTAAGATGTTTCCAAATTTGGCTAATCCCAATCTCTGCCATGAGTTCTATTTTGTTCACCGATTAGATTATGCTACAAGTGGAGTGATGTGTATAGCATTAAATAAGCAATCAGCAAGAGCTGCATCTATAGCTTTTGAAGGCAGAAAAGTTCAAAAATATTATATAGCTGTTGTTCATGGACATATTAATAGCCCTTCAATAATAATTAATGTCCCTATTGGTATACACTAATTACATCAAACCCAGAAAATTTATGTATAATTGATATAATATACAAGATTATTATTTACAGGAAGGGACATTAGAGAAATAAATGGTAGTCGTAAAATGTGTACAAATGATAATCAATTCTGTACAGAACCTCGTAAATCATGTACAGGATTAATGGTTTTAGAGAAAGGTTATTACAATAATAAAGCAGCAACAAAAATCTTGCTTTATCCAACTACAGGGCGTCGTCATCAATTAAGGGTTCATTGTGCATATATAGGCCATGTAATTGTAGGAGATTACACTTACAGCGGGAAAACTGATGTTGAGCCTTACAGAACATTTCTCCATGCATTGAGGTAACAATGTTGAATACTAAGCTAATAACTTCCAGAACTTGTTATAGTAGTCATTTTTTTAATGATATTTCAATTATTTATAGAATAATAATTCATAATGAAGTAGAGCATTTAGATATAAATACTATGGATCCATTCACTTCAACAATTCATAAAAATCAATGGAAACCATCGGAGACTATAAGAGTTGTGAATGATAAAACATTTTGGGACATTCAACAACTCACGTTAAATACTTGATTTTAATCATCTATTGCTTCAACACCAGATCCTGAAATTTCAAACTCAATGGTTTGATGTGGCATATAAGTTGAGCCTTCTGAGTACAGATAGCGTCTGTTATTTTTCCTGTACATGTGTAAAGAGTTGGTTATCATATTAGCCCAAGTAATGCCGAGAGATGGCTTCTCTTTTGCAGAAATATGTTCTACAGGTGTTTTGTGAATGATGGCAGTTATCTAAATGATTGATGCAAATGTCAATGGAAAGTGTTTTTAATAATAAAATAAAAAATATTGTACTAAGATTTTTAAAAATATAAATTTAGAAAATATTTTTACCTGATTTATGCAAACTACAGTAATGTCATACTTGTTTGCTAATTTATGCAAGTGGTAACCTAAATTTCTCAAACTTTTTGCTCTATTTTTCAAATTATCTGATTCATATTCAACTCTATAGGTGCTAGCTATAGAATCAATAACAATCAGTTTTATTTTATATTTACTCAATAGCTGTGGAAGTCGTTCAGGACTTGAAATACAATGTTCTAAGTCTTCCTATGAAAGTATGTTATGAATTATTTTTTGACATTTTTCAATTTTCTTGCAAATGCTTACTGTGCTTGAAACATGTTCAATGAAAATCATTTCATTTGATATTAAATGTTTTTTTGCAATTGGTGATTTTTCAAATAATTGTTGCAATCGATTAGATGGAAATGCTGCTTCTGTACAAATGTATGCTGCACCTGTAATAATCATGCAATATTGTCGTAATTAGCAGTATTAAGAAAAGAATTCCCATTTAATTCTAATGATTTTAGTGTTACAAAATAATTCATACCATACAAATAATTGGATGAGTCATTTTTAATTTGCGCTGTCAAGCATAATTGGAGAGCCAATTGAGTTTTACCTGTACCAGATTCTCCATAAATCTGAGTGATCCCTTTATTAAGTAAACCTCCTCTTAAAAATTTATCCAATTTTGAACATCCAGTACTCAAAAAATGCTCTTTGCTTTTTATTTGAAGCATAGAATTATCTAATTAAATATTATAGATTAATAAAACAGTTTTTTCGTAAGCACTACTTAAATTTCCATACCATAAGTAACAATTGAATGCATATTATCTTGGCTGCAATTGTAGTTGTTGATTGGCAAAATTTAATGTAGATATAATATATTAATTTTCTCAATTGTCATAAGAATCTATTTAATTAAATAGTTCAAGAATTTCATTACCAAAATAATCATCATCAGTTTTCTTTTGTTTGGTTTAAAATAAAAATATTTGTGGAAAACAAATAATAGTAAACAAAAATACAAGTAGGCATTTGATTCTCAGCTGTTTTCGGATGTTATCGTTTAGTATGGTAGGAGTACATTAGGGTGTTTACAAAAAAGATTCTATCGAAACGACCCTGGCAGAAAAATGATTGATTTAAAAAATATATATATATGTACCATTAGCTTCGTCTTAATTTGTACCACCCGGAAATTGTTTTTTTGGAATTTGTATCCCCCCCCCCCCCCCCAAACATTTAAAAAAAAAGCAAAAAAAAACGATATTTCGGAAATCTCATAAGCCTAGCAGAAAAATGATTGATATCTTAAAAGAAAAAAATACCACTAGTTTCATTTTAATTTGTACCATTAGAAAAATGCTTTTTTGGAATTTGTACCCTCTCTAAAAATAGAGAAAAAAAAGATTTTCGTAGGGTAGATTAGCAATTCAAATTAACGCATTACTGCGCATGCGCGGCGGAAAATCTATCTTCCAGCAGAGAAATATGCGATTTAAAAAATATATATATATATGAATGCCTTCTTAAGTTGCACCATCTAAAAAATACATAAAACTAATTTGTATCCCTGTAGAATTTGAATTATACAATGATTTTTGTGCGATTGTAATACTGATAAATTTTACAGGAAAATCTTTTATTTCTTAAGAAAAAAATATATTTCTAGTTTCACCTTAAATTTTACCAACTGAAAAATTGTTTTATTGTAATTTTTACACTCTAAAATTTAATTAGATATGTTAATATACAAAGTCCGAAGTTCTTAAACTCCTACAGTCCTACATCCGCAAAAACAGCTGATTACTCGGATGATAAAGTAGAAAACTCTGATAGGAAAAATGTTTATTTCCTAATATAAAACAAAATACACCACCAGTCTTGCCTTAATCGGTACCATTTGAAAAATAGTTATTTTGGAATTTGAACCCCTCGAAAATATTGAGAAAAAAATTAATTCGTAGTCTAATTCGACGATTCTAATTTCGTGTCTTCCGTGCTGCGGAAAATCTCTTTTCTCGTCGGAAAAATCGTGAAATTTTAATGTAAAAGCTTATGAATGTCTTCTTCTTAATTTGTACCATTTACGAAATCCAAAAATATAATCCAAAAATAAAATATCTTTGAAGATCTAAGAAAGAATCTAAGAAAGATCTAAGAAAATAACCCATTCCTATGGGTTATTTTCTGAAATAACCCATTCCTATTAATACAGCTCTTATAATTTTAATATAATTTTGGATTTGGAATTTGGAAGGGTACAAAAAAAATATAGATAATTTTGAATAGTATAAATAGACATAAAGCTATTTACTTAAAATTTTTTAAGAAAATTCACCATTTTTCTGCCAGGATCATAAATTTTATTAATTTTTTGCATTTTACTGTTTCTATGAAAAACGCTGTATAATTCAAATTCTACAGTGGTACACATTAGTTTTATGTATTTTTTAGATGGTACAAATTAAGAAGAAGGCATTCATTTTTTTTTCAAAATCACATCTTTTTCCGCTGGAAGATAGATTTTCTGCCGCGCATGCCCAGTAATACGTTAATTTGAATTGCTAATCTACCCTACGAAAATCTTTTTTTCTCTATTTTTAAAGAGGGTACAAATTCCAAAAAAGCATTTTTCTAATGGTACAAATTAAAATGAAACTAGTGGTATTTTTTTCTTTTAAGATATCAATCATTTTTCTGCTAGGCTTATGAGTTTTCCGAAATATCGTTTTTTTCGCTTTTTTTTTAAATTTGGGGGGGGGGGGGGGGTACAAATTCCAAAAAAGCAATTTCCGGGTGGTACAAATTAAGACGAAAATAATGGTATATATATATTTTTTTAAATCAATCACTTTTCTGCCAGGGTCGTCTCGATTTCGTTGCTGCAACAGCAGGTAACAGCTGCGTCTCGTAACAGATGGTAAATATGTACGTACGCGTGTGATAAATAGAGGATTACTTTAGTATTTAAAAACAAATTGTAATTGTTATTATTACTTCAAGAACTACATTCATGTGGAACGCTGCAGAGGTACGCTAGATACCTGTAGGCATTGGATTTGGTTCCCTAATCATAAACATTTTGATTTCTTGTATCATTCCAATAAATTTTTAATAATTGTTCGAAAAAGTCTCATAAATTATTTCATTATCGTTGGTGAATTTTACATACCTTAAAAATATCCATTAATTTATTCACTTTGTGAATATAAGCAATATTCAAATATGAATGATGAAATAGCAACGTTTACTTACTCTAGAAGTAGAAAAAGTAGTAATCGCAGTATTTCATCACTAAATCAAGGTAAAATAAAAAGTCTTTTAGAAGTTATAAATACTTCTTCTTTTCAAATAACTACAAGTTACCGTATTTAGATGTTCAAGCCATAGCTTGTCCAAAGAGAACCCAAGGTGATGGAATGGAAAATGTTGCTGCTGATAGATTATTGGATATTGTGGAAAAGCCAATTAAGACAAGATTAGGGGAAGCATTAATATACCATCCAACAAATTTGAAACAGAATTCAACTCCCCCTGTAACTCCAACGGGACAAATAGTGAATCTTGTACCTAAGACAATAACGCAGATTAAAAAAGAGAAACACATACTCCATTCGTTGAAAACAAAAGAACCAAAGTTTATACCTTATGAACCATATAAAGCTGCTGTTAATCCTATAGTACCTTTTGAAAAAAAAAAAAGGAGATCAAAAAATAATCTAGATATCAATGTTATGGTATCCCAGTTAGCTCATCTAAAGACTGAAGAATCCATAAAAGATAAACAAAAAGAGCACACTAGTATTCATGTTGACAGTGAAGTTGAGAATTTGAAAAAGCAATATGAAGCTGAAATTCACAAGCTGAAAGATGAAAATTGTCAATTAGAAAATCAATTGAAATTTCAAGCCCAAGTAATATTAATTACATTCTTTTTTTATTTCTAAAATAATTGCTGAATATTGACATTCCTGATTGCTGCAGGTGAATGGTGAATTGAAAAATTTATTAGTCGCAGCTGTAGGTGAAGATTTGGAAACCAGAGTGCATTTACTCACAGAGGATAAATTACAATTATCGCAGGCATTATTGAATTCAGCCAAGCATCTGAGTACTCATCAAGAACAAACCGAGTGGCTAGCCGGACAGTGTGAAGTTTGGAGGAGCAAATTTTTAGCAAGCAGGTGAATTTTTATTCTCACTGTATAACGATAAAATGCAATGTGCTAAAACTTATTAATGTTTTAGTTTGATGGTAGAAGAGCTAGCAAAGTGGAAGGCAGCTCTGTGTCAAAGAACTACAGATTTGCAAGAAAGTATAAAGAGGCTTTTGGAAGAGCGTAGTAAAGTTAGAGATATTTCCATGAAGACTTATAGGTAAAAGAGTCATTCCAATTCATTTGTCACAATAGTAGTTGTACTACATTAAAATAATTTAACTAAATCTATTATAAGTTATTGCCTGATATAATATTTTTACCAGTAATTTGAGCACTTATCACTAATTAAAAATTTTACATTTCAGAACTCTTAGCATCATCCGTGAGAATTTCGATCCAGTAGGAGCATCGCGTCGTCACGAACTTCCTAGTACGAATATTCTTGACCTTTCAGAAGGCAGCTTTCAGTTAGCAGAACTTTTAAAAATCAATTTACTTAGTGGTATGGATAAAGTAGATCTACGACGAGAAATCAACGTCACAGGCCTCGAAATGAAAACAACCGCCGAAAAAAATGCAGAACAACTGCTAATGAGTCCGAATATCATGATGTCCCAGGATGCAGCTTGTAGTGCTTTAGTCGGCGCAGTTCGCATGTTCATGCCAAACTCTTCGGCGTCAAGTAATGTTGGTGGTATTGTTAACATGGCTTGTTGCGCCCACTGTAGTGGTGAGGTCAAGCAAGTTTGACCGAGGTTCAAGAAACGTCAAGTTCATAAATACATATAGCTTTATAGCTAGTTTCATAATAAATTTTGTACATAGACATCCTCGAGATACTGTTTTAAAGGCAAAAATCTACAATTGTACAGGATATACTGAAATTTTAATATACATGGAGAATTTGTATTATAAAAGACAATGTACATTTTACATTAAATGTTTCAATCGTAATTGTAATTTTGTTATTATTTGTCAGAGTGGCCATTACATTTTCGTGATATAAATAACAATTTACATTGTTATATATTTTTCTGTTGTTTATTTCCTGGTATGGTAAATAGTTTTATCGTGCGGACAATTATGCACAATTTTATTATACACACAAATTATTATAAATAGTAATATGGTATTAATCAATAATTAACTATGTATTGTAGATAATAGTTTGTGTATAATAAAATTATGCATAATTGTCCACACGCTCTAGTTTTTTACTTTCGAAGTTATTTTTATTACTGTGCTTATATAAAAAATTTATAATAATAATAAGAAATACATAATTTAAAAAAAAAATAATGTAACGACTATTCTGTCGTACGGGAACATCGAAATTCCTCGACTCTCTTCAAGCTTAGAAGAGATGATTGCACAACAACGATAAAGCACGAATGAATAGATTATGTGTGTACTCAAGACAAGGAAGATACAACACTTTCGGTTGGAAGTAGACTAAATTAATATTTGTTTTGAAAGAAACTACTTGAACAATCTAAACACAGTAAGCTAATAATAGAAAAAATATGAACGATTTCGGTGCAGGTGTGTACGATTAATAAACACTGATGATTAAGTTAGAACTTGACTCTTTAATTAAAAAATAAATGTAGTAACTGAGACCCTGAAAGTCATCCGGCATAAAATAAACTCAGTACTCGAATGAGGAAAAAGACATGTGAATTTCAGGGTATTAAACAAAGGAAATTAATAAATACAGCTAGAACTTATTCAAGTCAGGTACCTAAATTACGGAAGCTTGCTTAGCCTGTATAAACGCGATTGAATGGCCATTCGCAAGATTCTTACCAGCTCGACACGCATGGGCGTTAAGATTCACCCCAAACAGGGAGAGTTCTCCAGACTCACTACGACGCAGTCCGTGGCCCTTGATGGAAGAGGCCCGATGCCGCTGAGAGGCAGCCACTCCAGAGGACGCGGTGTATCCTCAGCTAGGTAGGCGACTTCTGGACCTAGCCCCTTGCGCCGCTGGCGTCTAGGCGAAGATCGTCGCATGCGAACGCTAGGATGTCACTGGGTACACACTCGTGAGAATGACGCAGTGGCGAACGATGTACATTTGATAAACTCAAAGATGTTAGAGCCACAGTTAAGACGAGAGTGCGCACTCAAGGTTCGTAACCTTCTGGACTCCTTTGTTTTCTCAACTGCGCTTCACCGCTGCGAACGAGGTGCGTAACTCCCCACTTTTGGGCCTATTTGCGAGGGTCCAATCAGAGGGTAAGACAAACTCAGCCTATGAGCTAAATGGCCGAGCGGGCTGTCGCTTGTCGTCATAGCTTTCTCCTCATAAAAGATTTATGACTCGGCTAGACAGACACGTTCATGGTATTTACGCTAACTTATCGGTATATCTCTCGCACTCATCGCTACCTCGCCTTGGCGGCGGCCTGGGCCTCACATGGCAACGGCTGACTAGGATTGTGGGAAGGGATAATTGTTCGAACCAGGGTGAAAGCATGTTCGCATTTGGCTAACATCTGGAGCGTATACGGCGCGAACACTACCTATAATCTATGGTAATATTAATACTTTCATTCGACAAGACCATTTTTCGTTTAGCGAAGATGTCCCGGTTGCACGTCGAGGCAGAAAAACGGTTTCGCCGGAGAGACCGACTCCCCGAGCGTATCTCTTTCATCGCAAGAAGACCCGTGAAAAGTAAGGAAATTTCCCTCTCTTTCCTTCGAGCATTAGCTGGGGCCCAATCAGACAATTGCGGGGATTCAGCGCCGCCTACTTTCAGGTAGGCGGCGCTGGACCCTTTTTCATGGCGCGTGCGGTCTTTTGCAGTCACCTGTATAGTCGAAGCACAAAAAAATTAGTGAATCTGTTGATGGTACAAGGAGTGTCGTTGGCGTGAACATTTTTCGGGATAATTAATAGAATTCAATAGATGTATTATATAACACTTTTCTTATAATGAAAATGCGCTTTATTTGTCTGAAATTTTTTTTGGTTTTAGTTCTACAGCCTATCGGACATAAAAATGTGTGTGTGTGTGCGTAGTGTATAGATACAGCCCTTTCACGTAATCGGCGAAAAACGTGCTAATAAGTCGTTTAGTAGCTGAGTCTGTCTCAGGATTGTCTTTTAAACTTTACACTTATAGCTCCAATATTTATGTATACGTGCAACGTCCTTATCACAAATGCACTCATACATTCATGCATTTACACGAAGGCTCGCGATTGCCTGTGACTAATGATCGATGCCCGATCGATATTCCACACATACATTACAAAATACTGTTGAAAATTTTCAGAATGCTCCATTTTACGTCTTAAGCAACGTGACACTGTCCGTCAGTTCTACTACAAACGAGATCGTCAGCGCATGGGCATAAAGTAAGATGAACGTTGCTCAATGTCACCGTGATGTCTGGATAATAAAATGGCCCACTGACCAGAAGTGGCTCACCTGGACGACACAGGTCACCTTTCGCTCGCAACGGCTGGCACTGTGGGTAGCTGTAACGTTGCTGACCTGTATCGGAACAGAACATTTGCTTCGTGAACACGGTAAATCTACATGTCTCTGCGGCTCCAAGTAACCGTCGCGAAGCTTATAAGAGCGAGCCTTTAAAAGATCGCACCAATTGCACAGCAGTATCCACGTTTGCAATCTGTGTCACTCTTGCACTCGACGTTGGATGCTGACTGTGATTGGTTTTCTGCCAATGTACAGGCTACCACGCTCAAAAGCACGAATAATCCAGTTGCCGTCGTCATTGTATATTCTATAAAAAATGATTAGTTTTGAGTACACACCTACGACTTTTTATATGCTATCACGTTATTTTTTTTTTTCCCAATACGAAGTTATTTTGAACAGCAGTGACTTTAAAAAATAATTAGTTTGCATAAAAATTATTTCAAAATATGTCTCAAAATGAATAACATGGTAAATAAACGTGGAACCATTAAAATTTGTACTCTTTTCATGTATACCTGATGTTAGCACAGTTGCTATAAATATTCAAGATTCTTTTGACCAGTTGGGGACTTCGCTAATGTAATGTCATTTCGAATGTCTGCTTTATATACTGCGATTTTGAAAATCCTTATCTTCAAAAGTTTTGTTCGGAGATGAAAAAACCATCCGAAGCCGAGAATCATATTTACATATTAAATATATTCTCCACAAGCTGCTATGATATACAATAAATAATTGTGGATAAGATAAGGAAAAAGAAAAAAAATAAATAGTGGAGGTACAAAGAGACAAACAGGGAAAAGAAATGGAGAATAAGGTCACACCTGTATGTAGATAGAATAATTAAAAGGAATTGTTGAGCACGGGATTTATACACTTACGTGACACTGCTTCAGAGGATAGCAGCTCATTGACTTCAATCGTATAGCGATAAGCAGCCGATTCATAAAAGCCGTTCAACTTATCTCATTTACGCAGTTATCTTTTCACCCTACGCGGATGTATTGAAGTTATTACATGGAGTGAAAAATCTTTTTTACTTCAGGTGACTGTATTCGATTTATTAAGAGCAGAGCATGCTCAATCAATAAATAGGTGGCGTACGCGTGAGGAGCTTCTCGATTGTAATTATGGGTAATTGCAGTCGAGGAGATAATGAGGAGTGGGGATCATTGAAGTACTATTTACATAAAAAAATTTATTTTTTATATATTATGCATAAGTACATTTATTAAAGAATATGATTGAAAATATAATTATTTATTATAAACCATTATTTCTAATAGACTGTTTCTTCCAATAATAGAGAAAACATTATAGTTGGTACGGAAATAAATAAGTAACATAATGGTATCATTGAAAAGTGTGCGTACGTCGCACACAACTTTTTTATTAATTAAGTGTCACCTGCACGTAACTCAAATACGGCCATGCCAGGGCTGAAAATTTGTTAAGCATCACGAGTGAGCTTCGACAGCTGCCTTGGCCTTATACTGTCCCGTTCTAAAAATATCCTCCTCAAACATAATCACGTGCGTCCTGCTCAAGATACATAAATAACTAATAGGATATCTGTAGAAGAGACAAAGATAAACTCTTCTGAATTTGGTTTGAATCGAATTTAGAATGTACGAATTCATTGAAATCCAAATTAAAAATCGTAAAACGTTTGAAATTGCATTCACTAACAGTATAATCTACGCAAATGTTTGTGGTAATTATTCGAATTCGAAAATTAATTTGTTAATCAAGCCTCGAAATGAATCGAGTATTGTAAGGCGAGAATTATGGTAACTTAAAAAATGTTGAAAAATGACTATTGCCTAAAAAGAAAATTTCATTACGTTTATATAGAAAAGCAATGAATAAGAAAGTATATCTGCAAGCGTGTGTCATTAAAAAAATTACACAAGCCATTGTGACAAGTCGAAAGAGGTCACGATAACATTGTCTGAAATAACGGCGGACAATGAGAATTACTCATAACATTTGCATACTAGAAGATAAGATTATCGAAGATGAAAACTAGTTATGCATAATAGTCATTCAAAATGTCAGATATTAAAAGGGTCGTGAGAATAACGAGATTTTATAAGAAGATTATATCAAATCCTTTATTAAATTAGAAAAATTGTATTAGGAAGAGCAAAAAAAATCATCATACTCTTATCACTAATCCTTGTTGTCCTCCAGTAGATTAAGATCTCTCTCGTCGCGGCATTCAGCACTGACAGGATCACACGCCAATCCCGAAGCGCAAGGGCAAAACATCAGATATACGTCGCTCAATTCTATTTGTAGCTCGTCAGGATAGGATCGCGTGCCGTTCGTCAACAAGGGACCGTTAGGTCGGCAAAAGTCACCCTCTTCTTGCAACTGCTGACAGTGAGGATAGCTGTATCTCTCGTACGCTGTCGAACAGACGTTCGTTCTGTTACCGGGCGACTTTTCATTATTCTAACATTTGCCAAACTACCGATTACATGATGCCGAGCCATTTGGAAATACGTTAGTTGAAAATTGAAATTCACGTGAAAATATTTTCTCACAAAATACGCGACTGAGGAATGAAAAAGGTTCATTAGTGTATGTACCAGCTTTGCTTTTTCTTGTTTTTTTTAAGATCATTTGGAACAATGCTCTTAAACAAAATGAAAATATCTATTTTTCATTTCCTTTGTCGCGAAAGCAAACCCCTTTCTAACTAGAAATTCAACTCACGAAATTAATATACAAGAATTCCTATTCGTTCAAACGTTAAAATATTTTAGAAAAAATTTTCTTTCATTAGTCAGATTCAAATTATGGCAAATTGATTATTCATATATAATTTGATTCGAAAAGTATTTGAATATTTGCACGTAAACTCCGACCTAAAACACGAATAATCTTATTTTTCATAAAAAATATTTGTCTAAAATTTCTTTAAAGTAGTGCTCTTAGAAGCCTTATGGTATAATTCATGCCACGATAGTGATCATTCAACTTTGATGAATCATAAAAGAAAACTTAAAATTCTTCAGCTGTGATAATTAAATTTGTTCCTCTTGTCTTAACGATATCTAAATTTGTAAAAGTTTTTGCGCATTTCGTAAATATTCAATAATAACAAGAATTATCGATCTAGTAACAGGCGGTAGAAAGCTTCTCGACATACCTATCGTGCAACAGTACCCAGGTGCGCAATGGCTGTTACTTGTGCAATCAATCCAAGCCGGTAGATCCGACTGCTTCTTTGTCGATCTATTGACACTTGCCCCTGATGTATACGTCGCTGCACTCAATAACAGCAACAGTATTTTTGTCGTCTTCATCGTCATCTTAGTCTGCGAACATTTTAAAGATTTATTAAGCCAAGAATAATATCATTCAACTCAACGTTAGAAAACGCTGAACATTTTTTTTAAGAATTAATTTATTCCGAGTGAGCGGTGCAAGCTGTGCAATAAGTGCACACTCGTATAGACATATACAATGACACGCAACTGCTGAGGTATTTAGTCACGGTCATTTTTTACAAATAGTGCAGTTGTCATTGCTCAATTGATCCAAACTGATCTCGATATTTTATCCCTTTCGATTTAATCATTTATGATTTGTCAAAAATAAGCTTTCTTTCGTAAATTATTTCTTCAAATTTGTATTTTGTAATTATTTGAATAGGTGTTTTTAAATACAAATGAATCGTGGAGTTCGTAATGAAACGCTCGACTAACAGAAAATCGTAAATCCGATAGTGAACCGATACGTTGACAATTGAAGTTTCGTTTCATCACTTTAGAGTGGAACACGATGAATTATGGATTTATTCTACTTCATATACGATATGCGAGAACTAATTTATAACGAACGTCAACGATTCACGGAAATTCAGAGAAAGCTGAAATTTTTTTGTCGCAATGTACCTCGAGCTCGTTAGAAATTTTTTCATGACAGGTTTCGGTTGCACGAACTTTTCCGCGTATTTCCCGGCAGCGAAGCCTGAAACACTAAAGTCACATTGAAAATTATTCGTCTCCTAAACCCGATCACAATCGCGCCGTCATTAGCGATGATTTCACCTGTCGGCGCGCAACACGTTCAGTGTCGTTTCAATTCGTTGAAGATGTTATTTTGCTGACAATAGATCGGCAGAAAAAAGGAGTATAAAAGTCACATGACGCATCTCGCGATGACGAACGAAGAATTTTAAAGGACAATAATTATCAGAGCTCGTCTACGGGATATGGTTTTTCCATGTAAATTCAGGACGGAAGATCGCTATTATTACGCGCTGTGAGATTTGTTGCGCGAGACGCCTTAATGATCGCGTGTGTGTCTGTGTAGCCTTCATTATTTGAATGCTCGCATGTATATTAAGAGTTACAAATAAACAATATTCTTTCCAAGCTCATGAAGCTCTGGAAATAGCATTTTATAGCAAATTCTCGATTATTAAATAATATTTAATGAATAATTTTCAAAGTCATTGGCGAGTTAATTTAATGAAACTCCAAGAAACTGTTATAGTATTAAAATATTCTGAAGTACAAATCATCTCGAAGAATTAAAATTTATGAATAGTCGTTATTTTACACAACGATCAAAACACACAAATAGAAATAATAAATTCGTTACGCTTTTGAATGAAAACTGCTTTCACGGATAAGTATGAAAACGTTGTCGGAGACTGAAGTGGCTCATACAAAGATGATAGGTAAACTATTGAAACTATTGAAAATAATGAACAGTGTACGGCTCTTTCATGCACTAAACACACAGATAACAGTATTAGAACTGCCACTCGGTTACCAACAGTGCTGCACTTGCGTGTCCCGAACGAAAAAAAATTGGTGTCCCACGATGATCTTTTCAGCTCAAAATCCACGCAGCGTGTGAGAAGTTCCCTCGCCACTCCGGTTTTTACGAGCGCTCGACCGGCATATATGCTTACATATACGTGCGTCTTTTTTTCTCTCTCGATTTAGACGCATGACAATCAGCTTTGTTTAGCGATGATTGCCGATTTCTTTTTTTTCTCTTTTCTTCCTACCAACATTTCTAAGATAATGTACACATCGACGAACTTTACCGTTAGATTTGGATAGAGAGAAATGAAAAAGGAAATCGAAGGACGTGTGTGCACTATATCAGCTCGATTTGTTCATGCGGAAGTCTGCATTGCGCCATCAACAATGAAAGTTTGCGGGGCTGTATAAACGCAGGTACAATTCATCGCGCTCCTCTTGATCCGAAATTCTCGCAGCAAGAGGAATAAACATTTTTGTCCGAGTAGGACTTGATTACAGTTGTTCATTGGGAAAATGCAAATTGTGGCAAACCGATTATTCAAATTTTCGTTCGAAGATTACGTTCATTATTTGCATGCCGGGCTCCGATCCGATAATCGGGCAATTTTGGTTTTTCCGAAGGGAACATTTTTATCGGATTTCTCTCTTGACAGAGGAGATATCGCACTTTCCCATTGGTTTCAAAGTAATTTCGGAAATTAGCAAAGTGGCGGCGTCCGAGATGACGATGCCTCGCAGCGCCGTGTGCGGCAATGAAATTCAAGAGCACATACAATTTTACATTGAGATGTGGCATCAGATTTATGGATCTTCGCGAGCGCACTCGTGTTTAGAAAAGTGATTCATACTCCGTGCGATTTATGATGATCAGTAGTCTACGCTCAAGATCATTTAATTATACTGTTAAAATATATACGAAGCGTGTGAATTACCACACCCTGTTTTGCATGCATTTCATTGACAATACTTTTGCTGAAGAAGATAGAATAATAATTTATTGCACATTGCAAGAGTAAATTCCGTTGGAACATGAGCAAACACTTTTGTAACGCGATTATTTCACCAAGAGTGTTCCTCTTGGCGCAACAGGATTTCATCTCCGGTAATATTTTTAGAGGATAGCTCTCTTGAATCGTACTTTTTTCTGAGTTTGTAGCGTGATACATTTTATTCTTGTTTAATAGAACTGTATCTATTTTTTTTTCTTTTTCTATTCGATTCGCATTGGGATTGGTTATTTTTTTTTCATTTTGAAATATTCATAAGTTTCAATTGGCCTTATTGACCTAATTCTTTAGCCAAGTCGCCGAGTTATTTGAATTTATTGCTTCGACTGATTGGAAGGAGGAATAATTTTGGGAGTCTGAATGAAGATGTAAACAATATTACGTATCACGTGCTGTTATTTAAGGCTTTACATATATATCGATTGATGTATTGTAGATTTTTATCAAGACTATCTGTAAGATTATTCACTTATTTTATTATTTATAAAAGTACTGGTCTTTACTTCGGAAGTTACTTATGGATTTGATAAACTGAAGTTCAAAATGGAAACCATATTATTTCTGTATCTGTAAAAAACACAAATATTTTATAAGAGCAAAAAAGAATATAAATATTAAAAATATTAAAAAAACTCTTTTTACTGAAACAACGTGTGTAGCAATGATGCATGGCTCTTCCTTTTAGATCTGTATAAAAAAAATTAATCTCTCGTTAAAATATTATATTCAATGAAAAATTACTAGATAGAAATTTCATGTTTCGTATTATTAGATTTTTTCAATAAAAAATCGAATAAAGTATTTTTGTTATCCTTCTAGAGTTTTATTAAATGTGAAAGCCTTTTATTGTCTAAATTTTGAATTTATTTTATGGTAACAGTGTTTTTAAAGTAACATACGGTATCAAAGTTGTCAATTTCATTACCATAAAAGTAAAATATTGTTCTGAAACTCTAATTAGTAGAGATATATAATGAGCAGACTCACCTTTGCAATTCATCGCTTTACAATTTTCGTAGTCATGAAAATCTTTAAACATATAAATTATATAAAATACGATAGAACAACTATTGAACAAAGTAAAAAAAAGTCCTTTCATATACCTCCCTTAGCAAGCATCACGCAAAAAGTCAAAAAAACAAGCAGCGTTAATTTCAACATGATATTGAATAAAAAATTGTCTTACAGCGCTAAAAACCGAAAGCAAATGTTCATCTATTACTTTGCCACGGATAAAATTATATATATTCTTGCGATAAGATAAGATATCTTACTAGTCTTATGCGTAGAAATACAAATAACAAATATTTGTACCTTTTGTACAGCAATGATTATTTTAACATTCGAATAAAGCTTATCTTTAGAATGGTAAATTAATTTTTTATTTGATATAACGTTCGTTAAATTTACCGTCAAGAAAATTCCGTTCTTCAACTTATATTACTGATAGAAACCTTTTGACCACCGTTCGTCGTGCTTATAAATAACATTACAATGAAAAAAATATATAATTCTTGTTGAATTCCTCCGTCTTCATCTGTACTGGATTCTTTTTAAGCTGATTATTGTCTTTGCATTTTCACTTACTAAGGTGAAAACAATGTAAAATATGAATACGTAACATACTGTTTTAATTCCCTTATAGTTTTCTTAAATGATAAAATTTGTAATAATAGAAAGAAGGGAAATAGTGAGAGCTGGAAATTCACTTAATTTTTAATTATATTCAGCACATTATTCTTTCCATTATTACAAATTTTATCATTTAAGTAAAATATGAAAATATTAATCTTATGACTTGAAATCGAATAAAATCGGCTGTAAACGTTTCCATTCAGAAGTAAGATATGTCTATTGAACGTAGGTATTTCAATTATTCTTAAAATTAAGCCATTCACAATATATCATTACCAAGAGATCTCGACACAGTAATATTTTTTAAATATAAATATAAAATGATCGATATAAATTATTGAATAAAACAACGACTAAATGTTCAACAATTTCTTAACTAAGGACAATTCTTGCTTAACGGTTGTCGAAGAATGCTCCACGCAACGAAAAGTGTTTCCCCAGTTCACTCGTTCGCATTTAGATAAATGAATTAAAACGAAAAAAATTAGAAATACTTCTTTTGATGTAAAGTTTCATATGGTTAATTTTAGGAGACAAGTACTTTTCTTTGATTATAAAAAATTATAGTCTCGAAAATTCTGATATGAGTAATTTGAATCTTAAAAAGTTTGTTACAGATTTACGAAAATGAAATTTTTTCTAATGCTACGTTGTTTGTTAACGTCTCAAGAATGCGTGTATAAAATTGAAAGTCTTAATAATTATTAGAAAAAATTATAGAACGGCGTCGCGACGAAGCATCGATCTCTAAGCTTATATTTGTTAACATGAACTTTATCTCATCAAATATTTGCGATTTTCTGAAAAAGCGTTCAATATTAACTTTAATTAGAAAATTATACATAGAACCTTTCTTTAGAAATTCATAAAACTAATAAGATAAAGTTTAATTAGTTTTCAAGTTATCCATGCATTAAAAAATAGATAAGAGTGCTTTCACAATAAATATTGACAAAAGTGTTCTTAAATATTGAAGTCTCGGAGTGACGCTGTTTCACTATATTGGGATAGTGGTGTGATATTTATTGCTTCTAATCAATATTAAGACTTCAAATTCAATACACATATTCTTGGACATTGATGAAAAATGCAGTATTAAAAAAATTTTAATTTAGAAAAGTTGTAACAGAATTTTATGATTCCAATTATTACTCTATTTCATAAATTTGAAATTATAAAACAAATAAAAGTACTTATCAATTTCTGAAAAAGACTATTAGAAACTTTACTCTAAAATTAGTATTCCTACATTTTCCGCTTTAATCCATGTACAACTTTAAAGTTGAACCAAGTTGAACCGATGAAACAATTTTTTCGTTGCGTGGAATTCTCTTTTAAGTATTGACGTCAGTGTTGGTCATAATAAAATCCTTATTTAATTTTCACGATTTCATAAAGTAAAATAATAAAGTTTGAAATATTCATGGAAAACCACTGTTGTAAGATCCATAATGGTTTTTTTTTTACTTTTTCTGCATATGTATAACTTGTTCTCACCATATCTCGAACGCGTAATGTTAGAATTTTTATCTCATTATATAAATGTTGTTTGTAATA